TGTTAGAAGCATGTAAGAATCATGTTAGAAGCATGTTAGAAACATGTTAGAAGCATGTTAGAAGCATGTTAGAAACATGTTAGAAGCATGTTAGAATCATGTTAGAAGCATGTTAGAATCATGTTAGAAACATGTTAGAAACATGTTAGAAGCATGTTAGAAACATGTTAGAAGAATGTTAGAAGCATTTTAGAAGCATTTTAGAAGCATGTTAGAATCATGTTAGAATCATGTTAGAAGCACGTTAGAAGCACCATGGTGCTGTTGGACTCACTGATCCAATGTTGGACAGAGTAAAGGTTCCCCCACTCAGTTCAGAGGTGCCCAGCTGACCCGCAGCTCCCAGCGTCTGCAGACGGTTCAATTCCTGAGCTATCTCGAACACGCTGAGTAGCTGAACATTCTTCACGTTGGGAACCAGCAGTCCCTGAATGGTGTCCATTGCCAGGCCAATGTTGTGGGATGCCTGTTGTACAGCCAACAGCAATATCAATACCTGGACCACAGTGGACACCTTCAACTTTGGAACCAAGCTACAACTGAGGCTTCACCTTGTAGGTAATGTTCTGACAACCTTCATCCACAGCAGAATTCAAGATCGGGAAGTGAAGGAGACTGAGAGACGCAGCCTATCCAATAAAAACAGAGTGTTAACCCTGAACCAATCAGCATCARTGTTCATTAACTCTGAACCAATCAGCATTCATCTCTCTCTGAACTTTGACCTCACCTTGATGAAGAAGGGCATGTAGCTGAGTTTGACCCCGCGACCCTCAGTGACAGACCGAAGTTCTGACCTCAGAACCACCAAGCGGCTCAGGTCCACCTCATCACAGTAACCAAAGTGAGGAATCTTGAGAGCCGCGGACATGGTCTTTACCATGGCTTTATGAAACCCTGCAGAGACACACAGACATCAGCTGTCACAACAGAGACATTTTGTCCACTGCTGGGTTCTGATCCCACTGGACCGCTTACCTTTGATTGGCTCAGTCACYTCTTTCCCGGTCAAGATGGGTCTGGAGGTTTTAGGTGTGGGTCTGGTTGCTCCTGGAGTGCTTATGGACCTGGCAGTAGGAGCGGTGGTGGAGGGGGCGGGGCCTGGAGTCTGGACTTCCTGAAAGGAAGGAGTCGGAGGGAGAATGGCTCCTGTCTGCTTGGCCAGGTAGTTTAGGATGTCCTCCTTCAGTATCCGTCCATCTTTTCCTGTCCCCACTACCTCACTGAGCTTTATCTGAGACAACACATGGGTTACACTGGAGACGTGAGATACACAGAGGACAGGACATCCTGGGGACAGACTGGAGAAAGAGTAGAGACAGACTGAGGAAAGATTTAGGGTGGATCAGGGAGAGACTGAGGATAGAGTAATGACAGACAGAAGGACAACTCAAGGACATATTGTGGATAGACGGTAGACCAATTTGTGATGGGTTTAAGATTAGGCCAATGACTGGGGACAGATTGAAGGCAGAGTAGGGACAGATTGTGGACAGATTGAAGACAGAGTAGGGACAGATTGTGGACAGATTGAAGGCAGAGTAGGGACAGATTGTGGACAGATTGAAGGCAGAGTAGGGACAGATTGAAGGCAGAG